TAGGACAAACAACTACCTCCTCCTAACAGAACAAAAGGGAGAAGGTGGCCCCTACACCCTTGGTCATCAACATCAGCCCTCCCTCCCACTGCACGGCGCCCACACACACACACACAAAGTACCTTGGGGAGGCGAATGCTGACAGAACCTGATGGTGGCGAATGAATATTTGATGCTGGCAGCAGTAGCAGTGGCTGGCGTCTAAGCATGGACACTGAAGGAAAAACAACACAAGTGTCCAGAAGCAGTTTGTGAGCAAAGGAGAGCGGGGGAACGTCACGAATTTGGGGAGGTGAAGGAGAAGGGGCCAGGCTAGCTCCCACTGGATGGAGGGAAACAGCGCAGCAGAGATAGGAGAGTGCCCCAGCATGCCTTGGGTAGCTGTCGTGGGAAATACGGTGGTGGGTAATGTCTGTCTGGATCTGTCACTGCACTGGGTTCCAGATCCCTAGTGAAGGCAAGACGGAGGAGCCCCAATCCCTGTCCTACTTCCTGTAACCACCCCCTCCGGGATTCGCCCAATTTAGTTTAAGGCACTAGGTAAGATGGGGCGGAAGTGCCCGAAAGCTCCAGCTGGTGACAGTTTGGGGTCTAAGCATTATCTGCACTAGCCATGCCTGCTGCTGCTAATTCAGACAAAAGGACTTTGTCAGAATGGAGATGAGGTTTATTAGACCTCTTTTAGGGACGGGGCGCACTCCCAAGCTGCTCTGCGAGAAGGGGAAAGCAGAGCAGGAGCGAAGGGGGCTCCCAGATCAAGAGTCCAGAGACAATGTCTCCCAAGGGAGGGGCTCAGGAGGCACAGGTTGAGGCTATGTGAGACGGGACGTTAACCTTGTCTGGGAAGGCGGGCAAATGTGCGCGTGGCTAAGAAGGGCGCTGGGATTGAAGTTGGTGGAAAACTGTTTCCTCCCCACGCGGCTGCACGCAGCTGAGCACTGCCGCTGGTGGGTGGGAATAGGTGGGAGGGGCGGGGCTATGGGAGGCGGGGCCAGGGTCAGGCAGCCCTAGGCGGATCTCTCTGCTCCTTAGCCCAGGACTCTAGTGGTTACTCCTAACTCTTTCAGTTTGGGCATTTGTCCCTTGGTCTTCTTCCTGGAGCTGAGGTAGTTTTCCAGGTCTTGGCAGGGCCCTTATTTTTGATCCCCTTTGGCTGGCCAGAGATCTCTTCAGTGCTAGCACTTTGCTGGGCTCCATCACTCCCATCAGCAGGTTGCCAGATTCACCCAAGGCCAAGAGCTGGCTGGGCTTCAATATCTACTTCTCTGTGAAGCCACAGAACGCCACTGCAGTGTGCACACTGGTGTCCACCAGAGTCAGAGCTCAAGGATAAGGACTGTCCTGTTTCTACCTAACACTGTCTGGAAGCAAATGCAGGTGCCTTCTAGGAGCCCCACCAGTAACAGAAGTGGACCGTTAGATCTAGGTTTTTTGTTTACTTGGGTTTTAATTTTCTAAGTCAAGGTCTCATGTAACCCAGGTGACTTTGAACTCCTTATATGGCCAAAGGTGGCCATATATGACTTGAACTGATCCTAGGATAGGGAGTTGGCTCTGGGTGGCCATGGCTCCTTAGCTTCTGGAATTCTTCTCACTTGTCAAGCAGGACACAGACAAAGGACAAAGTAGGATTCCCTAAAGATCTGGTCCCAGGGCAGCCCCTTTCTGCCTAAATTTAACAGAATATTATACAAATCGTGAGTATGAGGGTGGGGAATAGAAGGTTTTCTCCCCAGACAAGAGGACCTTGTCAGAATGGGGACAAAGTTTGGACCCCTTTTAGGGACAGGGGCATACTCACAAGCTAAGGTGTCAATTTGGATTCCCAGGAGTCAACAGCTAACAGGGATTGGAGACTCCTACCAAGAAACAAAAGTTCTACAAAAGGTCTGCACTCAAAAGCACATGGATCATCACACTTGCATGAGGCTGGCAAGCATGTGTATGCTCACAAATGATAAGCTTTGTGTCATCCTAAAGTCTTAGCTAATCTCTAGGGAATGGAAATGAAATTTGGTACCTACTTAGCACATATGAAACCAACAGGTTCAGTCCCCAGACTTGGTGGTTTGAGTGAGAATGGCCCCCATAGGCTCATATATTTCAAAGTTTGGTTCCTAGTTGGTAGACTATTTAGGAAGGATTAGGAGGTGTGGCCTTGTTAGAAGAGGCGTGTCACCCAGGGGGTGGGCTTTGAGGTTTCAACACTACCACACCAAGCCCCAGTCTCTCTATCTCTCTATCTCTCTCTCTCTGTCTCTCTATCTCTATGTCTCTCTCTCTCTCTCCCTGTCTCCTCTCTCTCCTTCCCCCTCCTCCCTTCCCCTCCCCATCCCGGCCTTCTGCAACTTGTGGATAAGATGTGGACTCTCAGCTACTGCTCCAGCACCAGGCTTCCTGCCACAAGGGAAATGGACCAACCCTCTAAAACTGTAGGCAAGCCCCCAATTAAATGCTTTCTCTTATAAGTTGCCTTGGTCGTGGTGGTCTCTTCACAGCAACAGAACAGTGACTAAGTGTGTGAGGTCTGTAATCTCAGCATTCAAGAGGTAAAGAGGTAGCAGGATAATAAGCTCAAGGTCATCGTCAGCTAAAGGCCTACCTGAGCTACATGAGACCATGTTTCAAAAAAGAAAACAGCACCAGTAAAGATGAAGGTAAATGGCATCTCTTGGTGCATCTCTCGATGTGATGATAGGGCCATGTATAATCTAAACCAAAATGTGAGAAAAACGGCAAGCTTGGATTGCAAGACACATTCTAACCGGGTTGTACTCACTTAACAATGTCTGTGTACTCCAATGTCAGTGTACATGCCCGTAGTCCAGCACTTGAGAGGCTGAAGCCCAAGGATTCGGGATTTTAAAGCCAGCATGAGCAACACAGCCAGCTCTAGGACAGCCTGAGCTATGGAGAAAACCTACAAAAAGCAAAAAGCAGAAGGGAAATGGCCCAGTGGTCAAGTCTTGCTGTTCAAGATTGAGGACTTGAGCTCAGCCCATGTAAAAGATCCCCATGCAAAAGACTGGCACTGAAGCACACGAAGATAACCCCAGAGCCAGGGGTCAGCAGAGACAAGGGGGTCCTGGGGGCTGGCTAGCCAGCCAGTGTAGCTGTAGAGAGCTCCGGGTTCATTGAGACCCTGTCTCAAAACCTGAGGTGAAGAGAGATAAAAGACAACCAACATTGACCTTTGGCCTCCACAGGTGTACACATCCACACTCATACGTGTACAAGTACCTGTGTGTATGCATGCACATTCGTACACACATACAAGCACACATGTCCTTGCATGCACACACACACACACACACAGAGAGAGAGAGAGAGAGAGAGAGAGAGAGAGAGAGAGAGAGAGAGAGAGAGAAGGTCTGCCATGTAAAACAAAGCAGCTAAGAAACTATTGTAGTCTGAAGATGGTTCAAGGAACCCGACAACTAGAAGCAATGTAAGATTTTACACTGGATCCAAGACTGGAAAAGTAAAACACTCTAGGGCCCAACAGTAGGTGAAATCGGAATAAGGGTTCTATATAACTATTGACTGAATTTGTTTTCTAGTCTTTTTTTTTTTCCCAAGAGTGTTTCTCTGTGTAGCTTTGGAGCCTGTCCTGGAACTCGCTCTGTAGACCAGGCTGGCCTCGAACTCACAGAGATCCTCCTGCCTCTGCCTCCTAAGTGCTGGGATTAAAGGCATGTGCCGCCACCACCACCACCCAGCTTGTTTTCTAGTCTTTTACAAATATGTATTGCTTGGGAAACACGCACACTTAAATACTTTCAAGGTAAAGAGACATGAGATCCTTAGCTTGTTCTCAAATGGCTCAACAAATACAAGCAAAGCAGATCAGGGTGATGGTCACAATCTGGGCAAAAGGGAGTTCTCCATACTATTCTTCCAGCTAGTGTGAGTATGTATTGGTATGTGGATATGTACTTAGTATGCACTGGTGTGAGGTTCCACCAGGTGTGCATGCATGCCTGTGAAGGCCAGAGGACAACTTTGGGTGTCATTCCTCAGATGCCATCCCCAATGAGACAGGGTTTCTCACTGAACTAGACATCACCAAGCAGGCAGCAAGCCCAGGAACCTGTCTCCACTTCCCCAGCACTGAGATTATAAGTATTGTCATCATGCTTGGCTTTTTTTTTTTTTAATGTGGGGTCTAAGGATCAAACTTAGAATCTGCATGTTGCATGCAAGGTAACACTTAGCATCTAAGCCATTCCCCAACCCCTCAAAACTAAATTTTATAAGAGACATATGTCTAAGTGGCAGCTCATGCTAGCAAGGGTGTGGAGCAAGGGAAACACTCCTCCATTGCTAGTGGGAGTGCAAACTTATACCGCCACTATGAAAATCAGTATGACAGATCCTCAGAAAGATGGGAATCGATCTACCTCAAGATCCAGCTATGTTACTCTTGGACATATACCCAAAGGATACTTCATCCAGCCACAAGAAAACCTGCTCAACCATATTCATTGCTTCCTATTCATAATAGCAAGAAATTGGAAATGACCTATATAACTCTCAACAGAAGAATGAACAAAGAAAATATGGTACATTTACACAATGGAGTATTACTCAGCTGTTAAAAGAAATGACATCATGAAATTACAGGCAAATGAATGGAACTAGAAAAAAAAACATCCTGAGTGAGGTAACCTAGACCCAGAAAGATAAATATGGCATGTATTCAATTATATCTAGATATTAGCCATTAAATAACTTATAACCAAGCTATAATCCACAGACCCAGAGAGGATAGGCATGAGAAGGGGACTAGGGGGACACGTGATCTCCCTGGGAGGAGGAAATAGATTTTATGGGTGGGTTGGAAGGGGAGGGGTGAGAATGAAACGATCAGGTGGGAAGGTGGAGGGGAGATGGGAATGACGGAGGGAATGAAGGGAGAGACATCTAGAATTGAAGAGCATTTGAGGGGCAGTATGGAATGACTCCTAAACATATTCTGCTATACTCATAAATCAACCCTTATTCAGTCATCATCAGAGAGGCTTCCTCCTGCAGCAGATGGACATGAATACCAAGACCCAAAGCCAGCCATTACAGAGACCTTGGAACACACAGCTCGAAATGAGATGTGTCCGTCAAATCCCTTCCCTCAGAGCTCAGGGAACCCCGCAGAAGAAGAGACAGGAATAGGAAAGACAGGCGGGATGGAGGACACCAGAACAAGGTCCTCTAAAACAACTGAGCAAAGCCCTTAGAAACTCAGAGACTGAGCAGCAAGCACGGTGCCTACACCGGTCTGCACCAGGTCCCCTGCATATTTACTGTAGCTCTCGGTTCAGTACTTTTATAGGACTGACACTTTTACGGGATGTGTGAACAAGTAGATCTCTGGTTCTTGTCCCTGCTCTTGGGGCTCTTTTATTTTTCTGTTGATTCATCTTATCCAACTTTGATATGATGGTTTTTGTTTTATTACATTTTGTTAGAAAAAGAGACCTATGTCTTTAATTAGAAGACAGAGCATAAACGTGTGGTCATGAACGAGGCACGGCATCAAGTGAGATTAAATGTATTGTTCAATGGTGGCAACAGAGACCACTCAAAAGAAATGGCCAAGGGCTGGAGGCACAGCTCAGTGGAAAGCACTTGCCTAGCATGCATGCCGCTTTGCATTTCATCTGCAGAACCAAAGAGAAAGGGACACAGGAAAAATGAAGGTGGAACCGAGAGGAACTTGAAGTCCAGAGGGAAGGAGGAAACAGGCAATGCAATTTATATTTAGAATCTGAGAGCAAGTAAGATCCCAAGTCATACCCACTGCTTTTAACACACCAGGAGTTCTGTTGATA